CTTACATGGCAATCATATAGAGATTTTTAGTAATCCTACATGGTGATCAATAGCAACGATGTGCTTCTGAATATATAGATATATAGATGGTTCTGCATGTTTTTTTTCCATGTTAATTTAAGTCAATTTTTCCTCACCTGATCTGCATTTACTGTTTTTGTGCACTTCTGTATGTATTAAATTATCTAATGCACTTCAGCATAGCCTGTTCATATATTTGATGGAATATATTTCTCGAGATATTTAAGGAATCTGGAATTTTATGAATTAGATTATGAAATGAAATTCAAGTTACAATTTTTACCTTGAATTGTATAAACAAAAGAGTAGTGATATTACAATTATCAATATGGATCAGTGCAAAGTACATATCCTCTAAATTATAAACTGATCTTCCTTATCTTTTAGTCTTGTTGCTTGTTTTCAGGCTGCCTTTGACTTTAATTTTAGCCATTGCTTGCTAATTCATTTAATTTAAAGTGTGGTATTTCTTTTCATATAAGGAAAATGACATATTCTTGATAAATTATAAAATTATAACCTAATTATTTTTGTTGTAAAAGATATTTGAGGATATTAAAGTTGACTTGAAGACCGAGGCTAAGAAGAGTGCGAGCACCACTGCTACTACAACCATAAAAAAAAGGTATAAGTTACGTAAATTGATATTTAATTAATTTATTGATCGTTTATACCCATTTACATTATCACTAGTACTATATTCTTTGTATGGATGAATGTGGTTTAATTGGTTTGAGTATTGTCTTTGTGATATAACATATTTATGATACTTAATTTATGTTTTGTTTGCGAACCTAGAAGGTCACAATGGATAGAAGATGGATTTGGTTGTCTAATAGGTTGTGCGATGAATATATTCAAGGAATTGACTCTTTCATAGACATTGCAAAACAACATTTGGATAGCGAGGGTAAGACCCGCTGCCCATGTAGAACTTGTTTGAATACAAGATCACATGATATATATACCATTTAGCTACATTTGTATAGACATGGGTTTTTAAGAAGTTATGTTGTATGGACTTTTCACGGGGAACACATGAATGTTGGAACCATATTTGACGTCATGTCTAGCGATAAAGTGGACAATGAATATGAAGATGATGATGACATCATGGAAATGCTTAATGATGCTCGTGGTCCAGTAAACATGCATATGGATAGGGATTCATCAAATGTAGGTGGTAGTACAACCCATAATCTTAGGAGTGTAGACTATGAGAAATTTGATGTCATGTTTGCATATGCTCAACAAGAATTGTATCTAGGGTGCACCAACATGTCAATCCTAGAGTTCATAGTTAAATTGTTGCATATAAAAGTCATTATTCACATGACTGATAAATCATGTGATTTGATAATATAGTTGATAAAAAGTGTGTTGCCTAAAGGATCCAATCTCCCCGAATCCTACTACGAAGCTAGAAAAATTATGCAACAATTAGGCTTAGGCTATGAATCAATACATGCATGTAGGTTTGATTGTGCATTATTTTGGAAGGAGCATGCGAATGCTGATAAATGTCCTGTATGTGATGAACCTAGATATAAGATTAATGATGGAAAAGGCAAAAAAATTGCACATAAGGTTCTATGTTACTTCCCCTTGAAACCTAGACTCCAACGACTCTTCATGTCAAGGCACATAGCTGAAGATATGATGTGGCATAAGGAAAAACGATTAAATATAGAAGATATGTTGAGGCATCCTGCTGATTCTGAATCTTGGAAGGAATTTGACAAGATGTACCCTTCATTTGCACAAGATGCTTGAAATGTCCGGATGGGTATTGCAACTGATGGTTTTAATCCTTTTGGGAACATGAGTCTATCTTATATCATGTGGCCAATGGTACTTATCCCTTACAATTTGCCTCATGGAAGTGTATAAAAGACCCTTACTTTATGATGTCATTGCTCATTCCAGGGCCTAAAGCACCTGGAAGAGATATTGATGTGTATTTGCGTCCATTGATTGAAGAATTAAAAGAGTTATGGGTTGATGGTGTACAGACTTATGATACAGCTCGAGGAGAACGTTTTCGTTTACATGTCGCTGCATGTGGTCAATTAATGATTTTCCTGCCTTAGGCAATTTGTCTGGATGGAGAACCAAAGGCTATAAGGCTTGTCCTGTATGTAATGAGAATATATACTTCATCCCAATTGTTGAGAAGTAAAATATGCTACATGGGACATCGGCGATTCTTGTCTCTAGATCATTGGTGGAGGCGAAGCAAGCAATTCGATGGGAAAAGAAAAATTAGATCTCTGCCAAAATTATATTCAGGGGATGAAATTCATGAACAACAATCTCATGTGAACGATGTGCATTTCAGGAAAAATATATTCTCAGTCGATAGAGGTAGAAAAAGGAAACATAGTCTTGGTGCATCAAATTGGACAAAGAAGAGTATATTCTTTGAGTTGGAATACTAGTGTAAACTTAAAATCAGACATAACCTTGATGTGATACACATTGAAAAAAACATATGTGACAACATCATTGGCACATTATTGAACATCGAAGGGAAATCAAAAGATACTGATAAAGCTCAACTTGATTTGCCTGATATGAACATACGCAAAGAGTTACATTTGCAACCTCATGGTGATAGATATTTGAAACCACAAACATGTTATACTCTTACATTAGATGAGAGAAGACAATTTTGCTAATTCCTGAAACCAGTGAAGTTTCCAAATGGGTATGCAAGTAATATCTCCCGATGTGTCAATGTGAAAGACGGCAAGGTTGGTGGGTTAAAGAGTCATGATTGTCATGTCCTGCTACAACAACTGCTGCTCGTAGGAATACGTCCATTTTTCGTCAAGACATTTGTATTGCACTTGTCGAGCTATCCTACTTCTTCCAACAAATATGTGCTAGGACTTTGTCTGTAAATGATCTAAATAGATTGGGACAAGATATAGTCTTAATTCTTTGTAAGCTTGAAATTGTTTTCCCTCCTGCATTTTTTGATATTATGGTTCATTTGGCTGTACACCTTCCATTGGAAGCTAAATTGGGTGGTCCAGTTGGATATCGGTGTATGTATCCAATTGAAAGGTTTTTGGGAAAATTGAAAAAATATTTTAGAAACAAAGCTAGACCGGAGGGCTCTATTGCGGAGGGTTATATGGTGAATGAAGCATTAACATTTTGTTCAATGTATCTGCGGGGAATTGAAACTAGATTTAATCAAGTAAAGAGAAATGATGACAGTTTGCATGGACACCCAGAAAGAGTATTATCAGTTTTCTGTCAAAAGGCTCGTCCATGGGGTTCAAGGAAGTTAATCGAACTTCCACCAGATGAATTGCAAAAGGCTCATTGGTACGTCTTGAATAATTGTGAAGAACTGCAACCTTTTCTAGAGTGAGTCTCTTTTTAAGTTTAGTTTGAAACCTGTTGAGAAACAAATGTTTTAAATTGTATATAAGTTCAGCCTTATAACCATAATTGTCTCTTTTCTTTATGTAACAAACAGAGAACACGTAAAAGAGTTAGAGGCCTTAAATTGTGATAACATATTCAAAACACAAGAATAGTTATTTCCTAAATGGTTTGCAGATCGTGTAAGTATACCTTAATCATTTATAAAACATACAAAACAAGGTTTAATATGTTTTAGGTAATTTCATTGATTTGGAATTGACGTTTTTGTGTAGATGAACACCTTGCATGTTGACAGCTGCAATTATACAACTAAGGAACTGTACTTCTTATCTTGTGGTCCTGATTTTCGTATTAATTTTTTTAACAATTGTATTGTCAATGGAGTGCGTTTCCATAACAATGATCAATCACATTGTCGAGTTACACAAAATTGTGGAGTGATGGTGCCAGGGGAGCATGATGGTGATCCAATTGATTTTTATGGTGAATTAAGTGGTGTGTTAGAGCTAAATTATGTTAATGGGTTTTGGGTTATATTATTCAAGTGTAACTGGTTTGACACTGATGCAAAAAAGAAGAGGATACAAAAAGATTATCATCTCACTTGTATTAATGTTGGCAAATTGTGGTATGAAAATGATCCTTTTATACTTGCCATTCAAGCTCAACAAGTATTCTATGTTTATGATTACAAACTTGGGACTAATTGGAAAGTGGTTCGAAAAGCTCAACATAGAAACCTATGGGATGTACAAGAGATCGATAACACAAATGAAGAAGAGGAGGATATTGTTCCTATACAAGAAGATAAGTTTGACAGAGGACATTTCATTAGATATGATGTTGATCCTGATTTGGTTGATGCAACAATTACACATGTTGGAGCTGAAGTAGTGGGAGATGATGTCAATGTTGATGTTGAAGAAAAAGATGACACGTTGATTGATTATTTTACTGATAATGAAAATGATTTAATGAGTGATTCTGATAACAACTTCTGATGGTATGCTTGTATGATTATATGTACTCTTTACTATTTTCTGTTTGTATAAATATAGTTAATGATCTAATTTCATGAGATTAATTGTATAAAGTGACTTATATCTTACATGATATGTTTTCTCTTATGTTGATGTTTGCAGATTCCGAAGATGGCTCCTGGTACAAGAAGGACCCTAGCTAGACGTGCAAATATTGTTTGATGGAATCATAGTCTTGTACCGACTCCTAAAATTGCTGCAAACAATAGTAAAGTTATGATATTGTTCCATATAAGCATATTGAAATATATACTTGGATTTTAGATATTGTCTACAATGTTTGTTTAAAATTTAAGAATACATTTTACTTTACGAACATGTAAACTATCCTTGTGATAACATATTATTTACTAATGATGCATTATTTTGATTTTGTACACAATATTGTGGCAAAGAACGTGAGAGGGAAGACTAGAGGAGTTGGATATGAAAGACTCATAAAAACAACGCAGTCGAAGTTGCATGTAGACTTTCAAAAAAAAAAGATGGAGTACCTACTGGAGTAAATGCATCAAAGTTGAGTACTGAGGTAGGAATAGTTACGAGGAACTATGCCCCCGTTAGGGTGCTTACTTGGAAGAAAGTTCCCTACGATGTCGAAAAACAAATGATTGCTCGTATCACGGTAATGTAGTTTAATATCATTATCCATATTATCATACTTCCTTATGAAAATAATGTATAATACCCATATAAATTTAATGCACGTACATTATTGATGAATTTAGACCAAGTTTGACATTGATGTCACGGAGCCCCATGTACTCAAATGGCTGAAGCACAAATTCTGTAAGAGATTCAACAGCTTCCGGAGTGCCCTACACAAGAAATTCAAAGCATATGCTACTAAGGAGGAAGCATTACAGAATAGACCAGAAGAAATTAAAGATCTCGATGATTGGATATATCTTTGTGACCTTTTTTCTAGTGAAAAGTTTCAGGTAAAGTCAACATGGCTTTTAATGTTATTATATATGTATTGTATTTTAATATTAAATTTTGTGGTGTTAGGCACGGTCAAAAACTTATTCTGAGAACCGGTCGAAGATGAGGTGTAACCACCACAGTGGATCCAAGAACTTTATCCAACACAAAAAGGAAAAGGTATTTAATATGATTAACCTATACAAATATACAACTTTGTTTTCCTATTTACTAATTTTATTTCAATTTATGGTCAATGACGATATGAACTGTTAAGGCGCACCAAATTGGGGAATCTTTCGGTCCTATACAATTATTTCATGACACTCGTTGGAGCGCCGAGAAAGGGTGGATTAATGAACAAGCAAGAGAGTTATATGTAAGTTGATCATCTTTCAATTATCGATATATGAAATGTCTTACCAAAAAATTGGGTATAAATGTATTGTTTTTCTGTAACTATTCCATACTGCCATGCTTTTATTGTTTTAATTTGAGTCTCATTGCATTTCTTTGTCATCTTTTGACCTGTAATTATGTTGGTGCTTGTGCATTTATTTGATATTGGCATTTAGTTTTCCTGAGTGTTACCAAACTTTTATAACTATGTTGTGGTTTGCTATTGATATGTTACAAATATTGCAGGATAAGGCTGAAATTTAACTTGTGTTATACTGTTTCTCTTGATTGAACTTTACAGTTTGTATTTTTTAAAGCAGAAAGTTGGAGTTTCTTCTAGTAGGAAAAACCTATTTCATGGTTTATGTAGATATTTCAAAGTTTCTTCTAAGCATTTTTGCGTCAGTTGTCTTCCATCCTAGGGACATGCTATAACTAAAAGTGCAATTTTAGGAGCCTTTAAGATCATTTTTATTTTCATGGATTGATTTTATTTATGTTAGCATGTTGTTAATTGATTAGTAATTATGTTACTTTAAAATTTAAAACTAGGGAATTGAAGTTTAGATTGATAATGTTTGAGATACTTGCTTCTCTACTCCATCAATTTTATTTTTGTTTGGTGCTGCAGTATTCTTTTATGTTGCTATTTAGTTTGTTGGTTGACTTATTGATTATGCATTGAATTGATGGTAGGAAAAAATGATAGAGCTGCAAGATGAAACACAAGCAGGGGAAAGTGAAAAAACAGAAGCTGAAATATGTGAGGAAGTTCTAGGTAAAGCTTCCAGATTTAACCAAAATTTTGCATTTTCGCAGACTGAGCATCAATCCATTGCAGCAGAAGCAGAGTTAAGGTGCATTGTGCAACAACAAGAAAATAAGATTAAACAGTTGGAAGAGCAGCTCATCTTATTTGATCAACAAAAAGAGAAAATAAAAAGCCTCGAACACCAACAATTTGTCCTATTGGAGATGATGAAGCAGCTAACTATAGCCCTTGAACTATAGCAATCTGATAAAGCTCCAACTCAACAGCCATTGCCATCTCCAACTGATGAAAACTCGTCCTCATCAGCTACAGCTATTTCAAAAACCACAACTGGTGACACTTGACATGCTAACAGTATTGATGGTTAGTTTTTTGTTGTATGGGCAGTAGATATTTTGACATGGGGGTAGAACCATCTTTTTAGGATTGTTTGCATATATATGTTAGATGGTGTACATGGGGTGGGCATTTTTTTGTTAGTTATGCACAGATAGATAGCTAGTGGGGAAAATGTGGGTGCATGCTGTTCTTTTGGGTTATGCACATGTGATAGTGCATTTTGGATTTTTATTGCTCGCATGCATAAAAATCCATGTATGGACTATATATATATGTATGAAAATATGATTTTTGATTTAGTGATCAGTTTTATATTGTGTGCCATTATTTTTCATGTGAATGTATAATGTAGGTCAATATGAAATGCTCTAAAAAAAAACACATTCTGCAACTAATTTTTTCAGTAGCAAAAAGTCATTTAGCATAATTGCATTCCGTTGGAGGTCAATATGAAATGCTCTAAAAAACACATTTTGCAACTAATGTTTTGTAGCAAAAAGTAATTTAGTATAATTGATTCCAATTCAGCGTCTAAAAAATAGTTGCGATAACATTTTGGATTTCACATTCAGCGTCTAAAATGATAACAATTAATCACTAAATTTTGTCACTAAAAGATACATTCGGCCACTAATAAAATAGTCACAAAAAACTTATTGGATTCCACATTAGCGTCTAAAATGCTATAATTAACTACTAAATTTTAGTCACCAAAAGATACATTCGGCCACTAATAAAATAGTCGCGAAAACCTATTGGATTCTACATTCAGCGTCTAAAATGACTATAATTAAACTATAATTTAGTCACCAAAAGATACATTCGGCCACTAATAAAATAGTCGCGAAAACGTTTGGATTCTAATTTCATCTAAAAGAGTTACAATTAGCCACTAAAGTTGGTCACAAAAAGATACATTGTCGACTAATAAAATAGTTGCGAAAGCCTTGACGAAATTACCCTTACACCTTTGGCGACTAATTTGTGTGGGATTCGCGACAAATTATTAGACACTAAATCTGACATTTTGCAATTAATTGATTAGTCGCTATACAATTTACCAAATTACCCTTCAATTTTAGCGTCTAAGTTGGGGGACTTTTGAACAACATTTGCCGACTATTTGATAGTCGCAAAAAAAAAACTTTTTGCGTCTAAACCACAATATAGACGCGCTATGAATCTGTGACCAGCCTACTGCAACTAAGGGGGCGACAACCGAATTTAGACGCTAAAAATGGCTTAGCGTCTAAATGTGACTTTCTACGTCTAATTTTGCTAGACGCAGAATGCCAATTTTCTTGTAGTGATTATTCCATTTATACCACAAAAAATAAATTGTAGCATAAAGGACTAACCGCGAAAGAAGGCGTCTGAAGTCCCCTTTGCGCTTGAGATGCAAGCTAACCCATTAAAGCAAAGAGAACCAACAGAAAGGTGGCCAGGCAATGAGAGTCCTAGTAGTAACCTCTCGCCAAACATAAGAAGAGAAGTCACAACTAAAAAAAAAATTTTCATGAGCCTCTGTAGTAGACCTGCACAAAAGGCACATAGAAGATGCAATGACACCGTAAGAGCTAAGATGATCTATGGTGCAAAGTCGACCAAGAGAAGCGAGCCATAAAATAAAGGAGTGGCATGGAACATGCCTTGGAAACCACAAGAGATGATGAATTGAGTTCACATTCTGTCTGTCCCATAACACATTCCAAGCCGAGTCAGTGGAAAATCTGCTAGAAGAATGAGCCTTCAAGGCAAAATGTTTAGGAAGACCCTCTAAAGGCTGCACCGTAACAGAGTCTCATATATTTTGAAGATCTGGACTACCTGAAGGCCATCTCAAATGATATCCGAAACCTGAGCATCCCAAGGCAAACTTGTAGAAGTCAGAGCCTTAAAAGGAAACAAATCACATAGACGCCCCTACAGTAGCCAATAATCTTGCCATAAAGAGGTATCTCTACCATCACCTATACAAGCCACAATAAGATCACGACACCAATCCCTGTTGAGAAGGATCTTCCTCCAAGACTATGTAGCCTTAGAGGTAATACGAATATGCCAGAATGATTGACCACGAAGGAGAACCAAACAAACCCAAGAGGACCAAATCGAGGAACGATCACTAAGAAGTCTCCATACAAGCTTAAGAATAGTAGCCCTATTCCAATCTCGAATCCTTTTAATCCCTAGACTACCCTCCCTCAAAGGATAGCAAATAGATAACCATGCAACCTTAGCACCCAAAGGGGACAGAGAAGTAGCCTTCCAAAGAAAAGATGTCAAAATACTCTTAATCCTCCTAACAATAGCTACCGAGAGAAGAAACATAGAAGACCAATAATCCTGAATGAAAAAAAAGTACTGACTTGATTAATTGAAGCCGGCTTGCATATGTCAAAGATGCCGAAGTCCATAACCTAATCCGAGACAAAATTCGCTCCAACAATGGCCTACAATTAGAATGCCGAAGCCGGGTAAAGATCAAAGGAACCCCCAAATATTTGTCTAGTAACACCCCCCACTAGAATCCCAAAAGAGACTACAACTCAACTCTTTTCTCAACTATAACTTTAGAAAGGAACAACTGGCTCTTCTTTGAATTAGTGACCAAACCAAAAACCATAGCAAAAGAATCCAAAGCCGATTTAATCAATCTAACAGAGAAAACATCTTCACAATAGAATACCATCAAATCATTCACAAAACACAAATGAGTAGTAGCTATCTGACTACATCTCTAATGATAATGGAACCCAGGGCTCTAAGAAGAATACTAGCCAACCCCTCCATAGCCAAAATAAAAAGATAAGGAGAAAGGGAATCACCTTGCTGAACACCTTGAGAGTACTAAAAAAAACCATGGAGCTCTCTGTTCAGGGCAATAGAGAAAACCGACATCGAAATGCATGTCATAATCCACCTCACCGTATGCTCAGGAATCCCAATAGTGTGTAGCCCCAATAAAATGAAATACCAGTTCACAGTGTCAAACGCTTTCTGAATATCAATTCAAGAGCACATCAAGATGAAGAACCCCCAAGATGATAATTCTGCAAAAGCTCTCGAGTCAACAAAATGTTATCAAAAATCTACAGCCCTGGAACAAAAGGCAACTAAGAACTCCTAATGACACCCAGAAGAACTACTTTAAACCAATTCACAGTCACCTTAGTGATGCACTTGTACAGTACATTACAACAAGATATTGGTCTAAAAGCAATCCTTGTAGCATTAACACATCTAAACATCTTATCAGTAGCAAAGAAATATCTCACTTCATCTTTGAAATCAGAACCAATAACATCCCAGGCCTTCTTAAAAAAATAGAAAAGTATACCCATCCGGACCAAGAACTTTATCATCTAGGATAGAAAATAAAGCAGTCCCAATCTCATCATTTGTGACAAGAGCAGTCATAGGGGATATCTTATAAGAAGAAATGCGACCAAAAAAAGTACTTGGAAGCCTCCTCAATTTGAGGCCGAGAAGGGGCAGAAAGAAGACCCTAAAAAAACCTTATTGCTAACCTCCCCAAATCCCGATGGCCAGTAACATAAGCACCATCCTTATTAATCAAATTGTGGATACGATTCTGAACCTGCTTGTGAATCAACAACTTATGAAAAAACTTAGTATTCTGGTCCCCTAAATTCAACCACTGAATATGAGACTGCTGCTTAAAAAAAGCCTTCTCATCTCTGAAAAGATGGAAATACTGATTGGCAAGGTCTTTTTCCCGATAGATACACTCTACTAGAAAAAGGGATCTTGTCTAAATTAGCTTGGGATGTTGCCCACTAAGCCCGAGCCTTAATCACCTTACTGGAAGTACGGCTAGAATCTTGGACATGTAAAGATTTGAGCTCCTGTTTCAACAACCCTAATTTCTACGTAAGCCAAAACATAGGATTGCTTGCCATAGGCCCATCCCATACGGCCTAAACAATATCCATGAAATTTGTACAATTAGCCCAAAAATTCATAAATTTAAAAGGGGTGGGTACCTTTCCTTGGCTAGAACCAAAGTGAACAACCATAGCACTATGGTCTTTGTGTTTCTTTGTTTAGTTGAATTTCATATGACAGTTTTTGAGGTTCAAGCATTTATATTACTACTACTAGCAGATTGTGATATACCTACTCATGTTAT